ATGAACTGAGCTCAGGGGGTTTGCCCAGTGGATTCTCTCTGTTGTTGCAGAAAGCAGACAGAGCATGAGGTCATGTTTTGCAGGTGCTCCTGCTGTTTTTCATAGCACTCCATATATTAAAGACTCATCCAGTCTCGGAATTGTCCTACATTCTAGGGAGCTCTTTTGCAGGCTGAGGTCAATTCAGTCAGGCTCAGCTGTTGGAAGGTTAGTAGTGTCTGAAAGGTCCTTTTTATTCTGGTGAAAGATATGCAGTGTCAAGTTCATCAGGCTCAATTCAAAATATGCAATCAGGCAGCTGAGTTCCATTGCCTCTGCTGAATACCAGTTTTCAGACAGTGGCAGAGATTGTTTCAGAACTATGTTGCTGTTCTCAGTGATTAAATACAAGGAAAATTTAAGAAAAAGATCAAACATTTGAACATCTTACATTTTCCCTTCTTGCTTTTAACTACCAAAGTGGGAGACGTGGATTCCCAAGAGAAGGGGGTTGGCCCTGATGGAGGCTTCTTACAGTGCTGCCTGGAGCCTCCTGTCCCCCCAACATCAGAATGGTGAGGGGTAGCACACAGCTGGGCTTTTGCAAAGTTATCTGTGAGTCCCAGCAGACAAAGCTCTGGGAAGGGAAAGGATGCCATCAGGGCCCTTACGCAGCGCTCCCCTGCAATATTTTCTCCAAGCTCCATCCCACCAGACATGCAGGACTGTCATCTGGAGGATCTCTGCCACCGAGATGGTAACCCTACAGCAAATCCAGGTGTGTTCTGATACACAGATGTGCTTTTTATAGGTCAGTTTTCATTTTTCTTCTTCTCAGATGGGATAATAAAGGCACATTAAATCTTTCATTTACAGTCTCCCAAATGACCTTTGTTTGCACAAGCGGAAGGCAAAAAGGCAGACAGTAAGCTACATGAAATAAGGCAATAAATAAAAGCAAGTGAAGCTTTTAGCCATTCTGAAGGCATCCCCACTCTGTGGAGAAAACTCCCACAATACCCACTTCCCATGCAAGTCTTCAGCCCCCTTTTCTCTGTCACTGCTTGCTCTTCCAGGACAAATCCGTGTTTAGGACTCTGACCTGGGTGTTTTGCTCCTCTGCTCCAGTGGATTGGGGTCTTTCCCAAGTCCTTACAAATTCCCATGTGCTTTGCTTCACTCCTGCTCTCATTAGCAGAAGTATTATTGACTTTGTATAATCAAGGCTGAGCAGTTTACCCAAAAGAACAACCTGAGTGTTAATTCCTTGGTGTTTCTTGTGAATGAAGGATAACATCCCAACCTCATTCAGTTAATCTAAAAAAGAAAAACAGAATGCCTGTAGTAAACCCAGAGGATATTTCAAATATTTACAGCCATGTGTCTAGAGCTCTGAAGGCCTTAGAAGTACTTGAGATTGAAACTTAAAGCAGAAGGGGCACAGATCTATAAAAGTCACAGTTTTTATTAGAATTGCTGCAGGTTAGGGTTGAAAGCATTGCTGCTGTGAATATATTTTTAGTGACTTATTACCTGCCCATAAATCAGTTCTTCCATGCTTCAGAAGACATTTACATTTATGCTGACACAGTAGCAAAAAGTTACCTCCCATTAAGGAGCTCTAAGCTCTTCAGTGCTGTTTAGCATGTCTGATATATTACATGAAATGAAACATAAGTCCTGAGTCTGTATTTTCCACTGTAGAGCAGTTCCACTGTGTACCACTGAAGCTCAGTGTACATAAGGTTCACTGAAGAACTCATAGGACAATTTTACCAGTCCACTGGAATGATTAGGGGATGAAACAATGCATTTATGGGGAGCATGTTTACTTCTCACTGCTTGCTGAGAACACATCCACCATATACCCCTGTAAGACTATAAATGACAGCGAAATAGTCTTGTCAAAAGTTTAAACCTTTTGGATGGAGATATACCTTCAAAACAAAAGCAAAACTGCCTTGCATAGCAGTATTCGACATGAAATATATGCAAGTGCCCCATTTTCAAATTCAGAGGTTTGCCACTGTCTGTGTTTAGTTTTGGATTCCTCAGAGGATAAACTTGAGAAGAAAAATCCAGTTTTTCTCTGTAGAAATAAAAGTTACTCTTAAAAGAGATATATTCAGCATTCCAATACACTCATGTATTTCCAGGCTCTGGGATTTTGAAGTTCCTAGTCTAATAGTTTTGAAAAAAAGCACAAAAAGAGAGAAACACCTTCTAGTTGGTGATAAAATAAGAACCTTAAATGCAAAGTCACCTGACAAGCCTGTGCTTACTTCCTCTCACCTTCCAAAACATCACCTTTACTGAAGACTCTTAGGTGAGGTCCATCTATTTGGGGTTTTCTTTTTCCCCCCTGAGTTTAGTTTTGCTTTGATTTCACAAAGAATAAATCCAGTTTTCCACCTGGGTTTCCTACTATAAGGTATGACACCTAGAAGTGTTGGCAGGACTGTCTGATGTCTGCTTGGTAAGTGTCCAATAAGCCTAGAATCTACTTTCAACAGATTAAGGGCAAAAATCCAGCAGTTTTCACTAGCTGGTGATTAGGACTGAAATTCCTCTAATGGCATACCCTGCAAAGGAACTACCGTCTTTAAATTCTCTATCAGTTGTGTCAAATAGCAATCAGCTGTCCTGATATCCTAATCAAAAAATAAAATAAAAAAAAATCTAAGGTAAATGGGCAATTTCCCAGCAGGATTGCCTCTTCTCCTTGACTGATGGGACTGGTTGTGTCTGGTTTAAGGTGGACACCTGTGAGAAGGCTAACAAAAGGGACTATGCATCCCATCCCTGAAGGTTAGTTCAGAACAGAACAGGTTTTCCACAGAGAAAGGAACTCAGGAGCTAAGAAGAAATAATTGTATAAATTGTTCCAGTACTTTGCAATCAGTAAATACCTTATTCAGTTCTTCCTTTTCACTTGTAGCTGCTATTGGCAGTCTTTTTTCTGAGAGAACTCTACAGGCAATTTTGTAACATTTTATAAGTATTTGGCCTGTATGAGGAATGACTGGTGTAGGTAGAAAATATTTGTTACTGACTTCATCAGGAGATCTTGCTGATTGTGGCATTAACAGCCTTATTTCCACAAGAGGAGATACAGGAGCTCTTCATGGCTAATCACGAAGACAGATACTGCAAGGATTTTTTTTCCCATACACTTCTAATTCAGTTTCTTCCTTGTTTTGTTTTAAGGTCCTATTATAGATAAAGTGAAAACACACAAAATGCCACTTCAAAGTCAGGCTTCAGGGCCTGATTAAAACACAGAAATGCAGAGTTCCAATCCATATTTAATTTATCTAAAGAATTCAGAGCATACTTAGTATACTATGCTAATCCACTATGCTAATCTCTGTGCCTTTCACACTTTGGCAAATGAGGTTAAGAGTGGTGCAAAGGTTCCTGCATGCCCCTACCCTTATGTGAAGTTTCAAATTTGGGCATTACTTGAATGCTGATACCATGTGTGTGGACACATGGGTGTGTAGGTATGAGGAGGAACAGGCTGGGGTTGTTGTCCTGCTGCTTCTGTGTTCATTAATGTCAGTAAATACTTGAGGTAATCTAAGCCAGACCTATATTCCCAATCCTCACAGAGGTCAAGCTACCTTACAGAGTCTGCAATATTCAGTCAATGCTACTTTTGTTCTTTGCTGAAAGGCTGAAGAAACCTTACACCTTATCTCTTCTGAAGTTATCAAATTCTTCAAATGTTGCAGTTCACACAGTCTCTTCTCTTAGTTCAGCCAGCTTAACGTGTATTGATGTTCCATCTCCAATCAGATGCTGAAGAGAAAAAAAAAAATGAAATACAGCAGCAGTTTTCATTTACTCTGCTATAGTTTGTTAATAAGTGAAACTGCTTATTATTTGGAGCTTGTTAAATGACTATATTTGAGTCTGGTTTGCAGGCATGATAAATTATTCAGATAGCTGAAAAAAACTGATTCATTACCATTTCCCATTAATATTTATGTGTTGCGTGCTGAAGAGTGCAACAGGGATATATTTATTAGGTTTGACTTGAGTGTTTTCTGCCATCTCTAGGGTGCTGTCCAGCATGACAAATGCAATCTTGGCTCGAGTTTATAAGCATAATGACCTGGACCTAATGATAAAAGAAGCCACAGTCCCAGTAATCAATGGATTGTCCGATTTACACCATCCTCTCCAGATTTTAGCTGATTACCTAACTCTTCAGGTAACAATATAAACTATTTTTCTTTTTTTTTGCTAAGAAAAGATGTTGGTAAGTATTGAGAAAGATAGGTTCAAAATCATTTATTCCTAGGTTATTCTGAGTGGTAATTACATGGCACTTGTTATTTAAAGAGATTTTTATCCAGCAATATAATTAAGGACCCATTTAATTTAAAACAATTACATAGTCCTATCAACTGTAGTGAGACTGAAGTTAGGCATAAAATTAAATACTTCATTGGAATTAGGCTGCAATTCAAGAAATGTGCAGGGGGCTTTACATATTAAGACAATGGTAAGAAGTTGGCTTAGCCAAAGTCAGTGCAATTTTTCCCACTGACTTAAAAAATGCAGTAGTTCACTCTTGATTCATCTCTAATCTGTGAGCAGCTTAAAAGGAATCTCTGTCTGTATATTAGGAAATTAGTTGAATTTGTTTTGAAAAGCCAGTTAATGTTACCAGTGCAAACACTTAGTGTTCAGGCACTTAAACCAATTTAAACTTTGCTCACATCAAAGAGCAATTTAAAAAGATCGTATTTTGTAGTTTTATCTAATGTAATAGTTGATTTGACAGCAGGATAACATTTTACATGTAGTACACCAGATGTTTATCTGTGAGCAGAAGGACTATGTGGCTTATAAAAAAGATTATTCTCCTGCAGTGCTGGTTGACAACTCTGATGAACTCCTCTGACCTTGTTTACTTTCTGAATGAATAAAAATCACACCACTTGAAAACAGGAGGGCAGAATAATTTTCTGATTTGCTCAGCTGTGTTTATCAGCTGTTGAAGACTTTGCTATGGGCCATTCAGTATGTGGGAAAGATCTAGTGAGAATAATATTCATGCCTTAAACTTTAAATACTGAAAGACTCATGTGTTTAGTGAAAACAACTTTTTTTTCTAATTGTAATTACTGGGGGTTTGTAGAATTTTTAATACTCTAAGTGAAGAGACTGGCAAAAATTGCTGAACTTGAGGCTAATATGCTTCACATACCTCAGGATAAGGGAGATTTGCTGGATCACATTGAGCCAGACTCTGCGCTCAGATTGCATAAAACAGTTATCTCTAATGAGAATGTTGTCAATCATTAAATGTCATCATGTAATTGCAAACATTGTGTGAAACTGTAAACCAGGAGAACCTTACAGTTGTGTTTTGCAGGGGGTTCTGTCTTGCAAACACTTCAGTTATTAGAATTTTATCACTTGTGAAAAACAGGCTCAGGAATAACCTGTGACTTATAGTCTCCACAGCTATGGATATCTCTGACCTTAAACCTGGTTTGATCCAGACCAATGACTGCAGACCCAAATCCAGGGTCTAGTTGCTACTTATCACAATCTTGTGGGATTTTCAGCAACATGTTATCCAGGTACTGCCTGCACAAACATGAATACAGGGATGTGGAATAGTACCAGTGATTCTTTAAATGAGTTCCAAGTCTGTATATAACAATTGGGCTGCTTTCCTGCAAAGCAAAGGCAATTTATTTGATTTACACACATATGCAAACTACAATAGTGGCATAGACTGCTAGTCTTATATTTAAATGTAACTGCAGATGTTGTGCAGCTTATTTCTCTTAAAAAATGTCTCTTCCTTATCCCTGTAAATATTTCCCTGCCTGGATCTGCTTCTTCCTGCTGTCAATACATACCTAAAATTTACATTTTTTCCCCCCCTCTTCTTTTCTTTCTCCTACTACATTTGCCAGTGGAGAACAACATGCACTCTGGCCTTCTTCATGCTTAGCACAGTTTTATTCTTCCATTTTCTAAATCCTATTAATTTTGTCACGTGCCTTCTTGAATCCTCTTCAAGCACTTTTGCTTTGGTTTGAAACTACATAATTACCTGGTTTGTTTTGTCAAAATGTTTTCTTGCTTATAGCTTGTGATTCCCCTTTCACAGGTGCATTTTAGTGTGGTTATTTTAGTCTAGTCCTCTGCATTCCCCCAACAATGCAGCTGGTTGATTTTCAAGGCTGTCAGTTCTTGTTCTGTACTCAGGGTGCTCTTGTCAGATCATAAAGTGTGCACCTGTCATGAATACTGGGGTGAGATTCCTCGGGTTCAGCATTCTCTTGCCCAGTTCCTTCTTCCTGAGCAACCTGGAGCCCCTCACATGTTTGATGTCTAAGCTGACTCTGCCCTTTAATACTGTGCTCAGGGTTAATGCCATCCATTATGCCAAGAGAGACTGTACTCAGGGTGCTCTTGTCAGATCATAAAGTGTGCACCTGTCATGAATACTGGGGTGAGATTCCTCGGGTTCAGCATTCTCTTGCCCAGTTCCTTCTTCCTGAGCAACCTGGAGCCCCTCACATGTTTGATGTCTAAGCTGACTCTGCCCTTTAATACTGTGCTCAGGGTTAATGCCATCCATTATGCCAAGAGAGATGCTTAGCATACTTTTTCTTAAAAATTGCGTTGAACTGAGTTTTCTCTTGAGTTATAACCCACTAAAAAATGGTTGTAAACACATAACCTGATTTTGAGGGTTTGGAGATTTGACCTTTAAGGACTACAAGTTTGCGTGCTGGTATTGTGCACACACTGAGCCACTTTACTTCTCTGCTTGTGCTGGAGACATGTAACAAACACATGCTGAGTCCACCCAGTGTCCCTCAGCGTCCTGGGCATAAGCTGTGGTTCAAAACTTCTGCTCTGCTGAGCTTGGCTGGAAGACAACATCACACAATTTGTATTCCAGAGACAACCTGGTTATTGACATTGATTCAATTGATATTAATGTCACTGGCCAAATCAGCTAACTTGTAGCTGAGCAGGATGGTCAGGCTGGTAATTAGAGTGGATCCATATGCCACTAGCTTTTTGTGTCACTGGTCTGGAGGGAAATTTCTTTTTCAGAAAGCAATGGTTGGCCTTAGAAATATATCAGTGATTTCATTCTTTAAACAGTGTAACAAAAAGTGTTGTCCAGCTTGAAGAGAGCTGCCAAATATTCTCAACTTCTCCTCAACACGTGACTCAAACACCTCCAATTATTATAGTCTTCAAATTCATAGTCATCATCATCATTATTCCGACAATTAGAAATCCTAGCTAAGATCTGGACTGATTCACCAGAATATACTGTTACAATAACAATGAGAAAACCCAGCATGGGAGTAAGAAAGATAACTGGGTTATCATCTCCCTTTAGCCCAGTTTGAGAGCCAGTGGATCCCAGTTTTCCTAGTTCCTCATTTACTGGATTGCACTGTCTCCCTGAGGGCTGAAGCTTCGATTAGTCCCTGGCTTTCCATTTTAAAATTTGACAGATTATTGATTCATTATTCAGCAGCTTGTTTTAATTGAGGGCTGTTATGACAGTTGTGGTCAAACATTTCAGCAGTAATCTATAATGGTGTCAGGGTTTCAGCCTAGCTGGAAGCAAGTCCAGGCAGAGACAGACACAAATGTCCCTAATTAGTTAAACCAGTCTTCTCCATACATACAGCAGTGCTACATCACTGAGCATTCTTATTTTTTCTCCGAGTTTGATACCCTGATACACTGTAGCCATGGATAAGAACAGAACGAAACATTGCAAAGACAACATGAGGATGAGAAGGCTGAATGTAAAACAGGCATTATTTAGCAAGGATTTTTCATGAGAACAGCAAAGACAAGTTTTATAGCACTACAGCATCACTAGTTTTCCAAAGAGGCATTCATTAGGGAGAAGGGCTCTAGACTTTCTAAATATGGTTTTGGGCTTGGTTTTTTTTTGTTTTGTTTTGTTTCCTGTGGCTTTACTAGGAGTATAAATATTTTGATGTCATGTTCCAAACATAAAGAGAACCTTCAGAACACCCAAGCAGGTATAAAGCCTACATCAATATAGCAGAGTTTGGAAAAATTGGGGAGGGATGCAGGGGGGAAAGTGTTGGAGGCTCAGGTGAAAATATTCAGGGGCTCTGGTGATCAGCAGGTATTGTAAAGGTTCTGACTTGACCTAGAGTGTTATCATCATGCCAAAATACCTTTAGCAGGGTTTTATCCATGTGGTTGTATAAGCATAAAGGAGGGGGAGAGTGGGGGAGAAGTATGTCTCATATACAGCAGCTTTTTTATTGCTTCAAAGCTTTCTGCTTCTGACCAACAGAGTAATCTCTCTTGGAAGCTGAGGATATGTGCATTAAAGCAGTACACCAGCAGTGCACCAGTGGCAGCATAAAGCTTAGCACAGGGTATAAAATAGGCTCCACTAGCACACACACAGCTTGATTTTGCCTTGTCTGTGACACCTTCCATTAGCAAAACATCTTCATTAAGCTCAGTTCAGCTATGTCCACTCTATGCAGTAGTCACTGCAGATGTGGCTTTTCAATTTGCAGTGCATATCAAGGGTCATTATACAGACACCTCCAGTACTTCGTATTTTATCTGTAACAGCTAAGGGCTTGGGAAAACAGAGAAAAGTATTTAGTATGCACTGTGCTTCTTTTAATGCAGAGTAGCAGCTGGCAATAAGGTGGAAGTTGTTTAACATAGCAGTATATTTGTGACTCTAGAAAATGCTTTTTGAGCATTAAGGCTGAGATGCCTATTTTTAAATGGTAAGATGAAAAAACTCAGGACTGTCTCATTTGCTCCTGGCTATGGGCTCATGTCTCAGCTATCACTGGGCTCTAAGTTGAAAAAACACCTTAAATAAATGCTCAGTTTGGCCTTCTTCTAGGAGCACCATTGCTAGGAGATGTGGAAGGACTTTGAAAGATCCTTAGAGACATGCAGAACTGTTATACTCTCCTGCAAATGCCCTTGCATCAAACCTCTGCCAATGAGCCTGCTGCTAACAAATTTCAACAGAAAAAGAAATAATTTTGCAATACCATAACTTACAATGCCTAGCCAGTCTAGGACTCTATTAGATTTAGATTTTTACAGCATTTTAATGGGAATCAATATTTCAAGTATTACTATTTTTGACTCAAAATTGTGGTCACTGGAAGAAATGCCAATAACTTTGTTCTGGAACAACTTCACAAGTGTTTGTTTAGGAGAAGCTGCTGCCAGGAGAGGGGGGGGTAGTCCCAACCCTTTTCCTGTTCAGTCTTTTGACATCTTTTCTGCAACTGTCTGCAAGGTTGCCAGTTAGTACAGCTCTACAATGTGGATGCTTATCCCCTCTGACAAGCATTGAATCATGTCACACAAAGTGTTGAAGCTCTGTCTGGCTTCCAGCTACTACAATGCATTTGTAGCATGGCCCAGTTTTGAATTAAGAATAAAAGGCTCTCCAGAAAGTGTTTTGAGTCATGAGGTAGAGCTGCACAGAGCAGACATGTACAAGTATTTGGTTACATCTTTACAAACGTTTTGGTATCAGCTTAAGTACCTATAAACATGCATATTTAAACAAGACTTGTTAAAGGGCCTCAGATTGTCCTGTTCTGGAAATAACATAGCTCCTGTTGTTCTCTTTCCTTCTTAGGCCTTGTCTGTTGGTGGTTGAGGCACATGATCAGGCTGTAAGTGCCATCAGGCAAAGCTATAGTTACCTCTGTAATGCTGTTTCAAGTTTGGGTAATCCACGCTCAGAAAAATCATCCCTGCAGTCCTTGGCTGTACAATAGAGAACAAATGCTGCAGGCCATGAGTGGCACAGCTGCTTTCAGAGCACTGCTCTTTTCTCTCCTGTGCAGCTGTGATGATGATGAAAATGCACTCAAAGGGCATGGCCACTGGCATGACTGCAGGGAACATCGTGTAGAGACAACTGAGCCAGAGGAAACATGGATAGGGATATTTGCACGATTTGGGGGAAAGCTGGAAGGAGTGCTATCCTAGGCATTAGGACTGTTTGAAAATGAAGAATTTTTACTGTTCACTGATGTTTGTGAGCACCGACCAATGTCTGCACAGCTGTGGTGCTGAAGTTACTGTGTGTCTGGTGCTGTGTCTCTCAGCCTGGGCCTCACCATATGGTCTATGTGATGTGTCCTTCACTGGAGGAAGCTGCAGCACTTGAGCCTTCATGTAAGACAAGGAGGGTTTTCCCTCCCTGACCATCCTGTTGGTGCAGTGAGTTCCATGCAGACAGCATTTGAAGTTACCCAGCTGCCTTTACACCAGGTCTGTCTGATCAATCTCTCTGCCCATCAGCTCGTTTGGAACATAACCCCAGAGCTCTAATTCCTTTGGCAGGAGCACTATGGTGGGCTGAGTGGGCTCACTATTGCCTGGATTGGGGATGGAAACAACGTCCTCCACTCCATCATGACGAGTGCTGCAAAGCTGGGGATGCACCTGCAGATTGCGACTCCCAAGGTGAGACAGCTGAGTGCACACAGAAAGGAAAGCAAACTGCCCCTTCTGGTCTCACCACTCAGGGTTTGCCAAGGGCCTCAGCCAAAGCTGCTTCCATGTGTCTTGAGTGCCACTTTTCAGAGCCAAAGTTCGAAATCCTGATCCAGTTATTATGATGGAAAGTACGAGTAATTCTACTGCATCCAACATCAGAAAGGCCAAGGGGAATTCATGACAACAGTACAAATCATGGAGGATTACAATTCCACTTGGTAAAGTGTTATGAAGTCACCCAGTGCCCTCTCCCTCCCCACGAAATTGAAACTTGTTTCAGATTGGTGGAAGTGTTGCATCTTGGTTGGTTAAGATGGGAGTGCAGCCTTTTAGCATGTTGCATTGTAATTCAGCATAAAATATGAAACAATCATTTTAGAACAAAAAATAGTCATTTAACTCTGTAACTGGTGGAATACATTTTTCTTATCTTTCTTATCAGAACCCTTTCCACCACTTTATCTCCAAAATAAACTTTCAACAAAACCAGTGTTAATTTCCTCAAATTTTACAGTTCTGAAAGATATTCTTCTTCCCATGGGAAATGGTTCAATCAATACTTTTCTAACCAGTGTTAATAATCAGTAAAGGTATCATACATGTTCCACATTGTGTTACCTTGTTCCATGATATATTATCTCTTTTGGCAGGGTTTTGAGCCAGACCTCAGTATCACTGAAATAACTGAGCAGTACTCTGAAGAGGTAAGAGCCTAAGAACTAGCCTAGTAGAATAGTTGGAACAGAGTTTATTTTCATTATAAATGAAGTTCCTTATCATCCTGATCTTCCTTGTTTTATTCACATTAGTATGGTACCAAGTTACTTCTCACAACAGATCCTCTGGAAGCTGCAGACAGTGCCAATGTCTTAGTTACAGACACATGGATAAGTATGGGACAAGAAGAGGAAAAGAAAGACAGACTAAAGGCTTTTCAAGGTTATCAGATTACAATGCAGGTAAAAAATGACATTTGGGGTTTTTTGTTTAAGTTTTTACAGTTTGCATCTATAAGAATCAATGTCAACAAAGCATGAGTTTGGGGTTTTGTTAGTGGGGCCACGGAACAGCCACACTCAAACCTCCCTCCAGCTTAAAAAACTCACAAAGATAACAGAGTTTGAGTTGTCTTATACACTTCACATGGCTTGGCCTCTTTCAGGGCTTCCCAATAAGACCTAGCTCCAGAACATGTGCAGCAGAGCTAACCCTTTACTTCTTTATGGCCTAAAAACTATATCTAACTTTGCATTTCCCCTTTGATACCAGAAATTATCCCTTATATTTTATTTAGAATGAGCAGTTCACAGATTAACTCTCACATGCCTGAGCAGCATTAGGGCAAATTGTGTATATCTGTCATTGATTAAAGCATTAAATTTATGTCTTTAATACCATCTGGTTGAAATGCATGTCAGCACAAAATCAGTTAGAGAAAATGTAAAGTTATAAACAAGAGGCATTTTCCTTGCTAATAGAATTACTGGGTTAAGTGACTGCACTGTTACGTAAGTTCACTAAATACTGTTGATGGATATGTCTCTAAACTGGCCTAACATGCTTTAATTCATTGTTCATTGGCATTAGATCAATATATTATAAGTGACAATATCAAAATAAAACAAATATAGCGTTTTAAATCATGGCTTAGTATGTTCTTGTTGCAATTATCCATGGTATTATACTGCTGTATGGCATTCAAATAAAGATTGCATTGTATTGATCCACTAGGCCACTGGAGATTTTACTCCTCTTCTAAAGCCAGAGAAAAAGGAGTGAATATATGACTTTTGTGAAGTCAACACTGAACTCTTACTGACTTGAATGGAGATATTCCCATCTTATCCACAGATGAGGAATTCTTTTGAAGTCTGTGGAATTCTTCTGAGTTCATCATCCAAGTAACCAGAGTGGGAGTTAATGTAAAATTTGTTAACCTTTTTACTAGCTAAAGATTTTATTAATGTCCTCACATATGTCTTTATATTTATATGCTTTTAAATCTACAGACTGCAAAATCTGCTGCTGCCAACTGGACTTTTTTACATTGTTTACCACGAAAACCTGAAGAAGTTGATGATGAAGTATTTTATTCTCCCCAGTCATTGGTTTTCCTGGAGGCTGAAAACAGAAAATGGACAATTATGGTAAAAAAAAAAGATGTCAGTAGTTGGAGTCTAGGCTCAGCTTCTGTTCTGCTTTACACTGCAGGCTTGAATTCAGCTTGATTCCTCAATAAACAGTAAATGTTAAAGCATATGTTTCAAATGTACTCAGAGTGCATCACAATTTTGACTATAGGCAACATATATATGTAGCACAAATACTTCTGGACACAAATAGGACCTATTTTGGTGAAAATCTGCTGTTGCTTGACCCAGTTTTTATAAGTAAATGAAATCTACAGTATAAACTGTAGTTTCTAAGACCAGTCCCTGGGACCTCAGCATTTAACATGTTTTAAAACTGAGCCCTTGAGTCAGTCACTAGAGTAAATCCAGTGATACAAATACCGAAAAAACTAGTTTCCCAAGCACTTAAAGCTAGTTGTTCTGCCATTTTCTCTCAGGAACTTTCCCTGAGAAAGTACTGGAAGAGCAAAGGTTTGAAAGACCCTGAAAAGTTATAGTGTGGGTAATGCTGTGTGATCTGTGGGAACCATGGGAGGAGACTTGGACTTTAACATAAACTGTAACTCCCCTCACAGCATTCCTAGATTTCAGAAAATTACTCAGTAGCCTGTTGGTTTTTTTGGCTTTAGAACCATCATGTTGACAAAAGCTAGTGAAGACTTTCAGAGGTGAAAAAAAAACAGAAATGGCATTGTCATAGCTTTGAGATGAACTCTAGATGTGCTCCAAGTGACTAAATAATGGGTTGAGTATTATGTTTACCAAAACCTCAGATTTTGGACACAGTCAAAATTACTAACAAATTGGTGTTCAATTCATAGATTTGGCCTTAAAATTCAACAGTGTTCTTTTTTTAAAATTTATTTTTATTTTCAGTGTTTCTAATTGCGCCAAATATTCTATTTTTAAAAAGGAAAGAAACTCTTTACTCTGGGTTCCAGATATATTTTGTTGGGGAAGGGAGGAGGAAGTGTAAGAAAAATTTTATCAAGCTATTAAAATAGTGTGGCTCTCACTGAAGCTAACAGAAGCCCTGCTGAAATCCACAAGCAAACCCATGTGGTGTCTGGGTACCTACAGCATCTCCTAGCAGCAGCCTGAGGATACAATAGAACGTGCCAGAAAGGCCTCAGCATTTGATCCAAATGCTTGTCTGAATTTCTCCTAAGCTGTCCATAAATGTGTTTTGTCCACACTGAGAAAACCTATCAGCTACAATACAGAATATCCTAACTGATTTTTGGCTCTTTCCTGATTCATCATCAGAAATTCTAGCAAATAAATCTAAGTGTGCAATTTTTGTCAGGGCAATAATTTTCAGCACAAGGCTTCAGAGCTGGAAAATATTCCCCCCTTATTTATTTTTATGGAGTATCTGTTTCCAGTGTGATTGGATTTTTGCTTTTCTTCCTCCTCTAGGCTGTCATGGTTTCCCTGCTGACAGATTACTCACCACAGCTACAAAAACCTACGTTTTGATGCTTGAATTCCTGCCAAGAGAAAAATTTTCCTCATCGGCAGAACATTCTGGTCCATAAATACATAGATCTTCTTCAGAAAGGATCAAGGCAATGAGTGATTTTTTAATAAAACCATATAGTTAGCTGTATAATATTGCATTACATTTGTAAAAATGTCCAAAGCAATAAACACCACTGCAGAAGCTGCTTTTCATCCTGACGCTCCAAGCTGGCTGTCCTTTCTGGTGGTCAGAGTCACAGAAAACGTTCCAAGGTCATACCTTAATGGTTGGGTCTACAGCAGCATAGGCATGGCATAGTCTACACAGAGCTGTGTTGGAACTTGTATAGTGTGATATGACAGACATAAATTTCTCCCTAAGCCTCTCCCTTTATTGCTGATCTCGTTAAGTGTGTGCAGAGAAGCAGTGCTTCAGTTTGCCTTGGTTCCTCCACTCCTGAACACCCTGTTTCTGTCCATCCAACCTCCAAATCCCACTCTGATTTTCACCAAAATATAGAGACCTTGTGAGCATTATCTTGCTCCATGACATTCCTGTGGGCTGGCAGAGGGGCCTGTTGCTGCAGAATTGCAAGGGAGCAGTTTCCACAGAGTTGGATGCAGCAGAGAGAAATGGCCAGAAGGAACTGGTTCATTCTTTGCCTATCTCCCCTAGACCTTCACTCCCTAAACAGAGTTTTGGCTGAAGAAGCAAATTTTCCAGGATTCACTGCATTTTGTCTGGCACTATAACACATTGTACATTGCAGCTAATCCTCCCCAGCAGTAAACAGACTCATGACATTTGTGGGTTTTGTGATGGCTGTGTGTGCATTTAATATTTCAGGTAAAGATTTGAGTACTGTCAAAAAACATCCTCTTTGTTGTTTCTAATTAGTTTCAAAAATGTGTTGACTTTTTTCCCCACTGCAATACTGGGGCAATACAATATTAAAAAAAATCTGCAAATGGGTTTACATTTTCTGACCAGATGCAAAACATTATTTAATTTCTTTCAAAATTGGAGTTCACCGCAGGGCCACATGGATCACTGAAATGAAAATAGAGATACTTTTTTTCTCTCTACCTACTTACAATTGTTTTCTTGGGTTTGCAGGCATTTGTGTCTTCTTATGATTAACATTTCCCTTTACAGCATTACAAGGGTTTCAAGAATTCAGGGAACATTTACACTTCAGCAGAGACCTGGCTGCATCAATGATGCAGGAATAGGGTATGTGCTAGAAATCAATGTTTCACTTCCCAGTTCAGTATGTGGAGGAACACGAATGGAATACAGTATTTTTCTGGTTGTAGCAGGTCTTGCTTTGTGAACATATACAGCAAAGGATGATAGTTCCTGCTCTGTCTTCTACAAACTGCTTACACCAGCAGCTGTTCTGATGCTTTTTAGAAGTACTGGGTGGACTTGATGCACATGTCCTGAGTGCTGAACCATTGTGTGGAAGCACTGAACCTCCCATACCCTTCTGCATGTGCAATACCCTGTGTGTGTGCTGTGTGCTGGGACTTAGACACATCCCAGTGGGGCAGGTTTACCAAACGTGTAGACTGTCTGTACATTGCATGCAGAGCAGATCTGACACTTCCTAGGGGCATTGGGTTGGTACCAAACAGGCTTGTACATTTCTGACCCAGGGATTGAGAAACATGGTGCCCTGAATGGTTTCTGTTCTTCCTGTGGGGACTTTCTCTGCCTTGCCCCACAGCAGAACAGCACTGTGAGGCTTAATCTGCTTGCTCAGGTTAAGCACCCTGGGATTGCTGGGTGGTAGCTGTGGTAATGTGCAAGATAGCATTATTATGCCATCCAGGCTTCTCACGAATTCATTACTTGAATTTACAAGTGATGACTGCAAATGTGGTGAGTAAGGGAAACAGCAATAATGCAGAGAGAGATTTTCTAGGAGGGAAAAAACAGTTATCAGCATTCAATGGGCTTAAAACAAACAAATAACAGGTAGCAGTCACTAATAGCTTACAGTGTTTTTCATTACATGTATTATGCTTTAATCAGTAGAATTGCTGTTTTCATTGCTGAGTGCACTTGAAGGATAGGGCATTGTTTTCTCCATCTTTTTACAGAGATGCTCCTGCCTGGCTCCTCATAGCCTAGACTTTCCTTCCACAAAAGCCCTGCTCCTGTGTTTGACAGAGAGAGCAGCCCTGGGTCTGTTTGGGTCTGTCAAACACATCTGACTCATGTAACAACCTCCTGGCCCAATATTTCACCTCACACACCTGCAGTGCTGTGCTCTGGCCCTTCTCCAGGACCATGCACTGGTGGGGGCAGCTGCAGCCTAACCCACCCCCTGCTCAGGGCTGCAAAGGGTGGACTGACCCTTAGAGCCCTTAGAGAATTCCTCTTCTTCTACACCTAGAGTGAGAAATGAAGTATTGCTTATTAGCAATTCACACACTGTAAACACTTGTTCTGCAGCTCATTACCAGGAGTGGTGGGATTCTTTGGTTACCCATATGTGATCTTCTGCAAGTGATCTAACATTAATTAGAGATTCAGCAGAGAAGGAGGGGCAAAATGTAGTATTGCTTATTAGCAATTCACACACTGTAAACACTTGTTCTGCAGCTCATTACCAGGAGTGGTGGGATTCTTTGGTTACCCATATGTGATCTTCTGCAAGTGATCTAACATTAATTAGAGATTCAGCAGAGAACAAGGGGCAAAATGCTTCTCTGTAATTTTCTCAAGGAGGAAAGCCAATATTTTTCCCCTGTGTACTACAGAGCTGAGAGAACACATTAACTACAGCAGGTGAGAAGCCTGTGGAAAGAATTTGCAAATAATTAGTATGTAAGAATATAAGGACTAGTAACTTAGGAAGGACTGAGTGGGTAGCCTAGACAATCAGGAGGGAGCAAAAAAATGTGAGAATTCTCAAACAGAATTAGATATTTTACTTGAACAGGTGACACAATGTACAGCAGATTTACTCACTGGTAGCAGAAGCAGTTGCCTGTGAAAGTCTGAGCTGCTAAAAGGGAAATACAGGAATAACTGAATAGCAAGGAAGCCCTGGGATTTGGTTGCTTGAAGGACTCCAGAACTCTTGAATTAATGTTTACCTCTCATAAGACAGGTCTGTAAGTTAGCCATAATTGTCTCACTGCTTTTCAAATTGTGTAAGAGAAGGAGTAAGAGCTGCACAAAGGTCTGAGCAATGCACTGAGCTGATCATTCAGTCTGGGGAAAGCTTTCATGACTGAGTTGAGGTATCTTGAGTTTAGTTTTGTTTTCCAGGGGTGTGTAATACTGCTGGAAAGTCTGAAAAGCTGTCTTCACACGAAGCAAAGGTTTTTTCTTTCTTCTGGTTCTCCCATTTTTCAGCTAATCACTTGGTTAATGTATTGAGCAAATAAACAGTGCTTTTTTGATTATTTTGCCATGGTTATTTAGCCAGCTTCCTTTCAAATGCAGAGCCCAGAATTTCTGGGTCTTGCCCAAGGTTATGTGTACAAAGACACTTCATAAGCCACAATAAACATTTAATTCAGCCCAGCATTTGCTCTCGTGTCTAATGGGATACAGCTATTTGCAAGGTTATTTGATTCCTATACAATCTTGTTACCAACTTTTTGAAGAAATCCCAAACCTTAGTGGCCTCTGTAAATGCTGATGATCCCTCCCATGCATATATGTGTAGATGATTTTTCTCTAGGGGCAAGAAAGCTGAGGTGACTCCATTCAGACAACAGATCTTTCACAACCACAGTCAAAGCATTGCCTGCCCCTGCCAAATCCCTTGGAAAGCTCATTGTGGTCTGCATTATATGTTAGAGGATTAATGAATTCTGCTATTCTCTAGTGGGTCTATTTTCAAGGGATTGGCATTCGTGCAAAGTAGGCTCCAACACAAGCATAATATATCTAGAAAGAGGGATGAGCACCAAGATTTGCAAACTTTGCTGATCAAAGTTTACTTATTGAGCCAAAACTGAATTCCAACTCTGAGGAACTGCAGTGATATCTGGAGAAGAGTACTGAAAAGTTGACAGGGCAGATGCAGGTCATGCTTAGTGATTTAAGCACAAAACAATATTAACTGGAGGGAGAAAGCTAAACTGCTCACACAGGTTATAGAATCATAGAGTCTTTGAATGGTTTGATCTGGAAGGCACCTGCCATGGGCAGGGCTATCTTCCACTAGACCAGGTTGCTCAGGGCCCTATCCAGCCTAGTCTTGAACTCTTTTGGGGATGGGACATCTACAAGTTCTCTGGGCAACCTGTGCCACTGTCTCACCACCCCTGAAGTTATGGAACTTCACAGGTCCCTTTCCATATCACAGCCAGCAAGATCAATGGTGCCACTCCCAAATGACTTCTGTCCTCTCCAGCAGCCTCATCTGATGTGCCCACTCCCTATCTGAAGGTGAGAAGAAGAATGCTCTCCTCACATGTCACCCCCTGCCAAAGCAGCCTGCAGTGCTCTCCAGTGGTGTGCAAATCCCACCCCTGGATCACCTGGAAGGCTCTCCTGCATGCCTGGGGCACGCTCTCCCCACGGGCAGGCTTTAGTGATGGTAATGCCCTCGCTGCTTCCTGAAAACTGCTCTGCTCAAGGGCAGGTTGAGCCGTCCCACTGATGGGCTGATCCACATCTTGCAACCTCCTGCACTGCTGGGCCTGGGCTGCCCCAGGACCCTCTGCCCCATGCTGTGACCCCACTGCAGCCTCACTGGGAGAAGGTTTGCACCATGAGGGGAATCCCAAGGATGGTGCCCCACAGAAGGTCCTTTGCACTTGCCCTGGACAGACAAAAGTATTTTGTAATGGATACCACTTGAAGGATCACTTGCATGAGTCACCAGCAGGTTTACAAAACCCACTCCAGAGTTCAGATTTCTGACTTCAATCCCTGAGCAGTTTTGGGGGATTTCTGAGGGCAGAACACCAGAGGATGAACGACACATGCTCCTCTCCAGAGGTTTTCCCATGGGCTGGATCAGCCCTGTGGGCTCCTCTGGGCACTGCCATCTGTGACGGGGCACAGCCACCTCTGCAAGGAGCAAAGATAGGAACCATGGGGAGGTATAAACCACTTTAAACTCAGACTGACTTCGAGCAATAAAATGTCTTAATCCCAATTCAGCAATTACAGAA